ACTTCTAAAAGTTTAACAGTTTGTGTATTCATCATAATAGCAAAAGGAGCATGATCTGCTCTATGAAGCTCCGTAGTGCAGCAAATGCTATCAGTTTTCTTTTCAATGTGACTTGCAGGATAAAAAAATTACCACATTGACTTGCATATATTTGTACTTATTTCAGAGAACACTGAAATTACACCATATATAAACCCGTTTCTTCTAAGTGATATAAACTAAAGAAAACATTCCTTCTAGTGTTCATCCTCAGGAAAAAGTTAAGAGATCGATCAAAAAGTAGTTGCATACAGAGTGTGTGTTTGTGGATGTGTATATCTGGCTATGTGTAATAACATAGTACTATGTGTTATTTAAAGCCAAATATAAACCAAAACAGAACATGCTGTGGAGGAATATGATGAGAAATATTCATTGGGAAGTACTGGAGGCTTTTTCCAAGATGGAGAGTAAATTCAGAGAGAGGTTGATCTCATAATGAAGACACATTAATGGCTATGGTGCTCACTTTATCTATAGTAAACCAAACAGAATTCTCATTGAGTGAATGCATAAAAAAGAGACTTCTCAAAGAGAATCTTGGGAGACTATTTAACAATCCTCAAATACGTGATATAAGGACTTAAAAATATTTAGTCAGCAAGACTTGTGACCGGCTAACACAAAATCAGGACTGGGCTCTTGAGGAGGTTTTGACAACTAACAATGACATTCCATTGATCATGAGTGTCCCCAGTAACCTAATCACTGGAAATTCCTAGGATGCTTCAGTGAGACTAAAGCACAGGTACAGCCACAGCTTCCCTGGTGGCTCAGATGGTAAAATATCCACTTGCAATGCAAGATACCCAGGTTCAACCCCCAAGGAAGATCCCTGGGTCAGGAAGATCCCCTGGAGAAAGAAATGGCAACCCACTCCAGTATTCTTGCCTGAGGAATGCCGTGGACAGAGGAGCCTCGTGGGCTACAGTCCATCAGGTCACAAAGAGTTGGACAAAATGGGGCAACTTTCACGTCTCACAACTGAAGAGTTTCACTCTGAAAAGAGGTTAAAATTATCCTCAGAAATGGTCACCTAATTAGAAGACTTGCAGCTTCTAAAGACATTGTGGATTTAATTCACTACAAAATGGTTAAAAGAATCCATCAAACAATGTAAATCAGTAGGATAGATTGTTTAAAAGGAGAATGAATATGCAATCCCTACAGCTGCCTCAGGGACACTGTCCCCTGAACCCTCTGATTCAGGAGACATACAACTTCTCATTTCTGCATTTACACAGAGCATCCCTTCCCAGGAAACCGTGTCCACAAGACATTTCCATACACCGTGGTTACCTGAGTCTGCCATATCAAGTTTGAACTATGCTACAATGCTGAAAGGACGGAAGAAGCTCTCAATCATAATACAAACAGGCATCAGAGAAGATCGCACCTACAGAGGAAAGTGTTGACAGGAAACTATCATCTGTCCTACCATCCTCAGTGACCCTGGTTAGAGCAGAAACCTGGGCAAACAGTTAACACTGAAATCTACTGACTAGGAGATAAACGAGGATATTTCAGCAGTAGCTATATGCTGATTACCATTCTAGTAATGTTTTTAGCAGGGGGGATAGGGTCTGCTTCGAGTGTGAAAAACCTACAATATACAGACTACAGTTGTTCTAATGAGTAAAAGTCCTAAAAGCCAGAACACGACTGGTTCTGGTGAGGACACATATCAAGTGAGAAACTCTCAAGACTTCCTTTTGCTGACATAAATGATACAAGTTAAACAAGTGAGAGTCCCTAATTTATTTTATATATTCCATTTGAAAAACCTAAATTCAGGAAGCAGTGTCTGACTGGTTTGGGCCTCATAGACATTACACATGTTGTTGCTCATGTTTTGTATTATTTTCTATTTGTTAGTCAATCTAGTGCTGCTTAAGAATTGTGTTTCATAGGAGTCTGACTGACACTTCAGGCTTCCAAGGTGACACATTACCTGACCACACTGTGTTCACTCTGTGCTTCTCAGAAGGCAAAAATGATGAAACATTATGACTTGCTCTTGGGCGTATTGACAATTCTGAATTCCCGATGGGATCAAATACTTTAGCCAAGGCCTGGGTACACCCACTGCAGCCATTTCACAGATATTAAGAATTCAAAAGGAGGGAATTCCCTGGTGTTCCAGGGTATAGGCTCCATGCTTCTACTGCAGGACCATGGGTTCAATTCCTATTCTGGGAACTAAAGAGGGAAAGCTTGAAAAGGTAGAAATCATTTGAAAATTTACAAAACAGAACTGAACTTTGGCTATGTGATTTTAAGTGATCTTTTTTTTTATTATGGTAGCCTGGGATCTAGATACCTTTATTATCTGTAGTTTATTCTGAAGTAATATACACATCCACATGATGCTCAAGCATTTGCTTAAAACAAATAAGTCTGTTCTGTGGCAGTCCTTAGGAGCAGACAAGTAGATGTTCACTCAGGAAAATATGCTTTGTGACTTCATGTGACCTTGAGGGTTTCTGCACCAAAGAAAGTATCATTGAGGGATTTTTTAAGTGACTATTTGGGCATATCTATCAAGACCTCATTGAGTAATAAGGAGAGGGGGAAATTTCTCACCATTCAGAGTACACAGCACTCCACACTGCTTTTAATCAGGTACATGTTTATCATTACTGTGGGGTCAAAATACTTGGTTTCACAAGTGTTTAATTCAAGGGTGAAGAGTGTGGTGCTGTTAGGAATATAAATAGAATCTTGACCCTCTATATAATTTATCCACACTGCCATTTCCAGCTTGCAAATCCATTTGTCAGGCAAACTGGCCAAGAGGGTTGAGACCCAGGAGGATGATTAGCACCTAGGACAGGGAACTGTGTGATAGTTGTCATGCTTTTGTCTCTACTAAGAGACACAAATGTACTTACTTGCATAGTGGTACATGCTGGGGAAATCTACCAAAAATCTTAAATATTTCTGTGATGACAGCACAGTCAAAGCTCTAACCTCCAAAGAAAAAATACACTGTGCATGACGCATAACTTACACACAAAAAAACCCAGACTCTATATCTGAATATAAACTTATGCTGTAAAGTGAGCTGACGTGGGGATCTACAAGCTAGAATGTCAGATTAATTTTTTCTGGAATGTTTATTTTGTTACTCCTAATTCAGAACTCTGTGTTCTGTTATTTCACAATTAGACAGATACTACTAAAGCTAAGGCATGTATTTTTAATAGACACAATATTTAATTTTTCATTTTCCTTCTGATGAGTCGAGGACATCTCCACCAAACATGGGATTGCCTGGGAATCAGGGGTCATTTCCAGTATTTTTATACTTCACTAAATCTGAATTTCACAGAACGTTTGGCAGAGGAGAGATTCTAAGGTCTTAAACAATTGATGCCTAAATCAAAGAGTTTATAAAATGCCATGATGAGAATAATCTAAACATATTTTACTCTTTGAAATTTTTGCTGCATCACAGTAGCTAAAATGTGTAGAATATGTAGTAGAACTTGGGTCATATGCTACTCAGATGTAATGCCCTCAAAAATTCCTCATTTAAAAATCTCATCTCAGAGAGAAACTAAGTGGTTCACAAAATTAAAATAACCAACTTTGTACCTCACATCAGTGTTTTTCTCCTGCTGTGTGCAAAAATGCATGTATGAACTATGTGGTGTTCTTACAACGAAGGGCTACCACCGTCCCTGCCAGCAGCGCATCATCCCCTTCCCTCAGCGAGTCTATGCGCCACCTTCTCTGAGATGATCCTCCACAATATGGCGGCTGCACTGCTGAGGTGACAGCTGCACCTGATGTCTGAATGGCTTTACCAGGATTAATGCAGCAAGATTTTCTTTGAGATTCAACTTTATTTTCCCCACAGTGCTCCACCTACATCAGTGAAAACATCTGATCAAACCATCAAACCATGGAATTTTAGTAGAGTCATGATCAAAATAAAACAATGAATGGTTTCTTCCAGTTACTCCTAGAAAATAGTATTAATAATATTCCTTACAGAGTTACAGTGGTTTTATATTATTTGAGCTTCATGTAATATAGACGCATGTGTTTTTGCAAATAAATGTGGAACAATGTATCCAAATGGGAGTGCAAATAAAAATCCTTGGAGCTGTTAAAACTGTTACTACAAAGCAGATGCTGTCAGATCACTGAATCAGCATCTCTGGAAGTTGAAGTGAATACATGAACTTGGAATCTGAACGGTCACTCTTCAACGGGAATGAAGGAAACAAATTCCCTTCAAAGTTGTCAGAGGGAATTTTAGATGACTCGTGCGGAACACACAGATACATCTAAAGAGCAATGCTGGTCAAGACCCTTCCATTAAACTGTCCTCCTCACCCATCATCTGGAGTCAGAGTCCTTCCAAAGCACCTTCTTCATCGCTCCCTTCACATCCTTGTTCCTCAGCGTATAAATGAAGGGGTTGGTCATGGGGATAATGACAGTGTAGAAGAGAGACATGAACTTGTCCTGATCCTGGGAGTTGTTGCTGCTGGGCTGATAATACACATACATGGCTGTGCCAAAGAACAGGGAGACCACCGTGAGGTGGGATCCACACGTGCCAAATGCTTTTCTCTGCCCTGAAGTGGACTTGATTCTTAAGACCGCCCTGACAATCCGACCATAGGAGAACATGATTAATGAAACAGGTGTGAGAAGCATGATGACACCAGCAAAGAAGGTCACATACACATTCATGGTGATGTCAACACAGGCAAGTTTGAGAAATGGAGGGATCTCACAAAAGAAGTGGTCTAATTTATTTCTCCCACAACGAGGTAAAAGGAAGACAAGCTCTGTCTGCAATAAGGAGTTGGCAAAACCAGTGATCCATGAAGCAGAAGCCATCAGGACACACAGACCGGGGTGCATGATTACCGTGTAGTGAAGGGGCCTGCAAACAGCGGCATAGCGGTCAAACGCCATAACTCCTAGGAGAATACATTCTACACCTCCCAACGCTAGAGAGATGTGCATTTGAACTATACATCCACCAAAGGAGATGGATTTGTCTGATCCGCTGAGATTAAATAGGAACTGAGGAACAATGCTGGTGGTATAACACATGTCCAGAAAGCTCAGGTTAGAGAGGAAAAAGTACATAGGGGTGTGAAGACGTGGGTCCAAGTAGGACAATGCAATGATGGTTGTGTTTCCCAGCAAAGTGAAGATGTAGAAGATCAAAAGGACCACAAAGAGGACTAGCTCAAGTTGAAGCCTGTCAGAGAAGCCCAGTAAGATAAATCCAGTGAAATAGCTTTCATTTCTCTGTTCCATCCTTTCTTAGCACTGGCTCCCGTCAAATCAAGCATTTAGCAATTTATTAAAGGTATCTTCAAAAAAAATATGTGGATAAAGAGGAAAATCTGTCATGTTCAAAGGCATGGTCATGTGATTTTATATTAACCTATTTTAATAAATGATGTACTCATTGAAATTGAGCTTTATACTATCCCAAAAAGTTATATATTGATAATTAATATAAAAATAATACATAATAATAATAAAATCAAATAATGAACGTTTGTTTCCATCAATCATACATATAAAGTGCCTTTTTCAGATTGAGTTTAATAGGATTAAAGTATGACCATTATATATGTACATTTTAGAGAAAGAGGGAATGAGGGAAATCAAGGGAGAGTGTGTAGAAAGAGTAAGAAAGATGTAGGCAAAGGAAGAATGCTTACTTTAAATATGTATCTCATAATTCTACATAACTGGATATGCAGATACATCACATGTAATAGTGGCTTCCCTTGTGGCTCAGCTGCTATAGAATCTGCCTGCAGTGCAGGAGGCTCGGTTTGATTCCTGAGTCGGGAAGATCAGGAATCTTCCAAAAAAGCACAGAGATGAAGAGGAAAACCTATCATGTTCAAAGACATGGTCACGTGATTTTATATACAACGATTTGAATAAGTGATGTATTCATTGAAATTGATATATCTTAAATCAATTAGTTCTTTACTATTCACAAAAATTATATCTTGAAATTAATATAAGAAAATAATAATAATAAAATCAAGTGATGAAACTTGGTTTGCATCAATCATAGATATAAAATGCCTGTTTTAGATTTAACTTAATAAGATGAAAGTATGATGATTATCTGTACATTTTAGTGAAAGTGGGAATGAGGGAAAATTAAGGGAGAGTGAACAGAAAGAGTAAGAAAACATAGACAAAGGGAGAAAGTTTATTTTAAATATGTATCTCATAATTCTACATAACTTGGCTTGCACATGCCTCACATGTAATAGTATAATACAAAATGATCTCTAAAATGCATTCAGATATAGACATTTATGAACTAGAATGTACTTTTTACAAAGAATTATATTACATTCAATGTATCACTAAGATACATCTCATAGATACATTCTGGCAAAATAGTTATCTCTACTTCTATTGCATTATATTTATGAATGCTATATCCTGGTCTTTTTGTATGCTAGTAAAAAATAAATTGCTCAGAGCCTGAAAATATCACCTTCGATTATAGTGCTTAACTGTTGTCCTTGAGATACCTAAAATTTCTATACCAATTTAACAAGAACGCCAAAAGTTTACTCACTGTGCGTAATCAGTTCACGGGCTTCCCTGTTGGCTCACTGGTAAAGGAGCCAATGCAGGAGATGCAGGAAAGGCAGGTTCAGTCCCTGGATCCGGAAGATACCTTGAAGAAGAAAATGGAAACCCACTTCAGTACAGAGAATCCTGGCGGGCTATAGTCCCTGAGGTCAATAAGAGTTGGACCTGACTTAGTGAGTAAACACCAAAGCAGTCTCTTCACAACAGAATTTCAAACTCCAGTGACCAACACTTGCCTCTTCTTTCTGCTGATTTCAGTTTCATATATTACCAACAAGTAAAATGCCTGGAATTCCTATAGGAGATAGGATTATTCACTATCAATATTCTAATGGCAATGAAGAACACATAAATGAGGAGGCAATGGATCTATCACAGTCTCAGGATTAACACTTCTAATCACTATGGGCAGAGTTTGGCCAGGTTGGGGAAAAGAGGCTGAAATGGGATATCTTTTGCATGCTGTTTATTGAATGAATGTCCTCAAGACAAAGAGAATCAGGGAATCAAAACAGAGCAGACAAATGTGTTAAGCAAGGATGTGATCTCAAATGGAATAGCATGAACGTGATCCCAGAGAAAGCTGGAAAAGGACTCACCAAATAGAGCTATCTGCTGATAAAAATATTGTGTCTTCACTTACACAATCACTGCTACCCACATGCTGCGACCTGAGCATTTCAGGTGGGGCAGATAAAGAACTGAATTGTAAATTTAAATTTAACTCATGTAAATTTAAATACCTATTTATTTAGATGTGACTAGTTACTACTATACAGAATAACAAGCTGTGGAGCATGCATTGTGTCAGATTTAGCTCCACCTAGACAAAAAGGCAGCCTTTTATAAATCCCACCAGTCTGTCATTGACTACAAGCAGCCCCAACCACATTCAAAACTTCTGGCAATGTGACTCCATTCAACTGATGGCAATTTTCTAAAGAAGTGAAGGGCTGTGAAGTTGTCAGTCAATACTCTTGACAAATATGGTGTCGACCAGTGAAGCAGTCAGTAGAAAATATCTGAGCTAGACACTTAAAGCATTCATAAAAATGAGAGTCCATTCATACAAAATGTATAGTCCATTCATAAGTGTGTGCAAGGATGAAAGGATAGTCACCAGTGTACATTACACATCACCTTGTCATTAGCCTAACTTACCAATAAATTAAACATTCAGATCACCTTTTCTGACCCACGTTTCTCCTCTCAAATTGGTGTTTCTCCTTAATTGAAGAATGATCATTTTTCATTAACAATAAATTCAAAAATGCATTGACACAATAACCACAAAATGGACCTTCATTGTTATAATTATCAAACTAGCATTTGAAAGATTACATACATTCATTTCTTTGAGAAAATGAACATTTTAAAACTACAGATATTGACAATACACTTTAAGAAACACTATAATTCACAGATATAGGAGCTGAGGAGAAAATGAAAGTGTATAGTCTAATATGTTCACATTCACATATATGCTATTATTCAAATACTGAAGGACATGTTTTATGACAGCCAAATATCCTGAATTTAAATTGCTCCATATATCCATACTGAGACATAAAGAATACACTACAATAGGATGAAATGTCTAGGAACACAAAGTTGGCTTCCATAAGGAACACTTAGCTTGGTTTTTAAATTTGGTGAATTTCTATAGGAACTTCTGTTTCTTTTGCCAACTGACATATATGTTACCCAATATAACCTTTAAGGAACACTTACAACTGAAAACAAACTAAATTACCAATTCCTAAAGTACCACAGAGATCCAGTTCCAGTCCTCTCAGTTTTATTCACCTTATGTGAGTGTCCTAAGCTCGTTCCCTATCTCATTTCCAGTTCCTGCCTTTAATACAGTACTGGGCATTGGAACCTGGGTGTGTAAACTAAGGATGCAGGTTGCCTGCAGTGAGTACATAAGTTGACTCTATCAGCACTGGAATATCCTTAAGTTTTCCTTAAGCAAGAAGATGCTTTCTCTTGATAACTTCAAATATCTTCACAGGGTACTGAAGATCGGCATTGTGTCTAGCTGGTAGGATGACATAGGAAGGCAATTACAAATTCTCAGGATTCCTTCTAAATGTAATGTTTTGGCTTTATGACGGAGAGCTCATTATGAAAGCATGAGATTGGTATGAAACCGCAGTAAAACTGGTCTGGTGAGAGTGGTTTACCTGGCTGAAGTCTCTGGGGAATGTTCGTCCTGTACCGTTAATTAGCTAATGTTGCCTGGCTGACCAGAGATGACAATGCTCAGGGAAAATGAATATCAAGGAGAAAGTAGGAGGAAACTTATTCTGCCTCTTTTAAACTTCTCATAAATGACAGAGCTCAGATAATTCCCTAAACTTCCCAGTTATCTTAGCTCTCCTCTCTTAATGGCTTAGATATTTTATTAAACACTTGAGCTTTTATACAATTGCAAAAAAAAAAAAATTCTCCATACATAAATAAGAACTCATTCCATTATTTAATTTGAAATGTAAATTAATTTTTATCTAATATTCATAACCAACTTTTAACGCATCACAGAGTTACCAATTCAGTTCAGTTCAGTTCAGTCGCTCAGTCATGTCCAACTCCTTGCAACCCCATGAACTGCAGCACAGCACGCCTCCCTGTCCAACACCACCTTCCGGAGCTTACCCAAACTCATGTCCATTGAGTTGGCAATGCCATCCAACCATCTCATCCTCTGTCGTCCCCTTCTCCTCCTGCCTTCAATCTTTCCCAACATCAGGGTCTCTTCAAATGAGTCAGCTCTTTAGATCAGGTGGCCAAAATACTGGAGTTTCAACTTCAACATCAGTTCTTCCAATGAACCTCCAGGACTGATCTCCTTTAGGATGGACTGGTTGGATCACCTTGCAGTCCAAGGGACTCTCAAGAGTTCTCCAAAACCATAGTTCACAAGCATCAATTCTTTGGCACTCAGCTTTCTTGATAGTCCAACGCTCACATCCATACCTGACTACTGGATAAACAATAGCCTTGACTAGACGGACCTTTGTTGACAAAGTAATGTCTTTGCTTTTTAATATGCTGTCTAGGTTGGTCATAACTTTCCTTCCAAGGAGTAAACATCTTTTAATTTCATGGCTGCAATCACCATCTGCAGTGATCTTGGAGCCCAGAAAAATAAAGTCAGCCACTGTTTCCAATGTTGCGCCATCTATTTGCCACGAAGTGATGGGACCAGATGCCATGATCTTAGTTTTCTGAAAGTTGAGCTTTAAGCCAACTTTTTCACTCTCCTCTTTCACTTTCATCAAGAGGCTTTTTAGTTCCTCTTCACTTTCTGCCATAACGGTGGTGTCATCTGCATATCTGAGGTTATTGATATTTCTCCTGGCAATCTTGATTCCAGCTTATGCTTCTTCCAGCCCAGCATTTCTCATGATGTACTCTGCATATAAGTTAAATAAGTAGGGTGACAACATACAGCCTTGACATACTCCTTTTCCTATTTAGAACCAGTGTGTTGTTCAATGGCCAGTCTAACTATTGCTTCCTGACGTGCATACAGATTTCTCAAGAGCCAAGTCAGGTGGTCTGGTATTCCCATCTCTTTCAGAATTTTCCACAGTTCATTGAAATCCACACAGTCAAAGGCTTTGGCATAGTCAATAAAGCAGAAATAGATGTTTTTCAGGAACTCTCTTGCTTTTTCG